TGAGCTATGCGTCTCGTTCTTGGGACGCAAAGGTGAGCTTTGCGTCTTAAGTTGAAGAGACTTTTGACTTGTAGTCTCTTTTGTTAGAGCATTATGAAGATTGTCATCTTGTAATCTTCGTCTCAGCTCATTGAAATGTGGAGAGTTATCAGATTGTAACTCCCATTGTTATTTGTGAAAGCTGTTGATCAGAGCTTTCATTAGTTGTTGTGAAGATCGTTGAATTGTAACATTCATTGATTGTCATGAAAGTCTCCAAATTGTAGCCTTATAAAAGTCATCAAATTATAACTTCCATTATCAGTGATTGGTGGGAATCAGTCATCTGTAGTAATTTTTAGACAGCCTACAGAACCCCTTTCAAAGTATTCAAAAGTTCACGGTTGACTGGAATGAATTTTCAGAATACTTTGGATCCTAATTTTAATTTTGGATTAGTTGGGTGATTGTTCATTACATCCACTTTGAAGGCGTTGTGGACTTGATTGCAAACACTAACCATGCAAGGTTAGTATGAAGAAGCTTATCGTGGCCCTGTTTCTGAAGTGCGGAAATGGGCATTGTTGTATTTTGAAATGAGGAGATGAGTCTCCAATTTAGAATATGAGAGATGATAACATCAGTGAGAGCTACAAGCCTAATGCTAGCAAGTGATCCAACCTTGTATTTAGCGACTTTCTCGCCAACTTCCTTTAGAACTCCCTTGGTAAAGATCAACTCAACATTTCTGACGGAGATGTTCTTCCTCATGAGGATCACTGAATCCTCATGGAATCTCTTTCTGATCGGTATCGATGATTAGAACTTGTCTGTACTCATCCAAGAGGCTACATAGCTTCTTGTTGTAGGTCATTTTTTTCTTGACTTTCGTCACCTTGATGGCCATTGCTAGTTTTTTTAGTACTGAAGCCTGGCCTCTCATAGGTAACACATAAATCTAAGAAACCCAAATAAGTTTTTAAGTAACTGAAGGGCCTTAAACCAAACAAGGTAACTTTTGTGACTTGATAACAAAGAACTTAGTCAAACAAGCTAAAGCCCAAGTCACCATCGTCAGGCTCATCAGCGGGCTTATCTTTCTACTCTTCCTTGGAAGCTGGAGCAACAACAAACTTGCTTGGATCCTTGAGATACTCCTTCACTCTCTTAGCCTGTGGGAATGTGTATTCCGTGTCAACAGCCACAGCGAAAACATTCTTCTAGGTATTGATGAACATGTGAGGCGCAGTTGTAAGAGTTGGGTAAGAGAGAGCTAAGGATTGCGAAGCCATCATAGAAACACTAGCTGCAAAGCTTTAGATGCAAAGGTGATCCGCACGTTTAAGTCTTGAAATGCAGAGGTGAACCTAGCATTTAAGATTTAAAACGCAAAGGTGAATCCAACATTTCAGGAGTCTAACCGACTCAGCGTGAACACAAAAATCACGTTTCGGGCGGGATTTTGGCCTCAAATCTCTTGCCAATTTGACAGCTCTAGCTGTCTATAAATAGACCACCATGGTCAAATCAAGAGTCTTCTCGACTCTTCTGCTTTCTTGCAAGCTTCTCCGAGCTGATTAACAAGCATTCTCGTTCCGAAACTCCGATGAGAACTATTCATCTTCTCCGACAACACATCATCCACATGGCTCCCAAGAAGGTTAGTGCTAAGCCTCGTGACAGGAAACCCACAATGGCGAGTTCAGATGCACTGATGACCTCGGCCATTGGTGGTGCCGCGGCTCAAGCGACCACGCCACCGCCATAAATTCCATTCGTCGGCGGTAAGTATAGGACCTTATGGACTGGAGAAACTTATTTTGACAAGTTCTGGATTTTGAATGACGAACAAGGCTCGTCTTGTTACTAGAATGCAGAGGTGGATCTCTGCGTTTCAAGCTTGAAATGCAAGTTTGAGCCTATCATTTTAATTTTGAAATGCTGGGTTAGCCTCTGCGTTTTGATTTTTGAAATGCTGGGTTGACCTCTGCATTTTGATTTTGAGACACAGAGTTAACTTCTGTGTTTGATTTTGAGATGTAGGATTCAAACTTGCGTTTTTATTTTGAAACGTAAGGTTAAACCTCCGCGTTTGGTTATTGAAATGCAGGGTTCGACCTCTGCGTTTGATTTTTGAAACGCAGGGTTTGACCTCTGTGTTTCAAACTTAGTCTGTTTAGACCTATTTTAGCTCTGCGCTAACTGATTATTTCTACCATTTGCAGTGTGCTATACCAATGAGCCTCTTTCTTTCTACCATCACTTCGGCCATGAAGGTGGCATAGATTGCAACGTGACATTCAATCTATGCCAGGAACTCCCCATCTTCTAAGATATTGATAAGGAGCATGCATATACTATTACCCAAGTGTAAGAACTATGAATTTTCGATATTAGTTAAAATAATTTTCTGGTATTTTAAAATATTTAATTATTATTTTTAAAAGGATATCTGTATTTTTCTTGATTTTCTAGAATTTCTATGATTTAAAAATCTAATTTTATATTTATTTTAATAGTTTTGTTAATTATAAATTTAATTGATTACGGTAAAAAAACTTTTAATTAATATTTTATTATTATTATTATTAATGTAAACCCGAGCTTAGTACATTAGCATATATATAAAAAATATATATATAAATATTTGGTTGTTAATATTTTGTTAAAATTATTATTCATTTAACTATTACTATAATGGTTATTCTTATGTATATGGTAACATATCTCCATAACCAAATCTCTCTCCCATATTTATTTCATTCCCTTCTTTCCCCATAATCATGTTCTCCCCCTCATTTATTTGCTTACTGATTCCCTCCTTAATCCCAGCATAGTTGTCCCCCTCTCTCTCATTATTTTCTCACTCACTCTCTATACTCAATCAATCACTCTTGTGATTGCTGTCATTCATTGATTTGTTTCTTATTTTTAATTTCTAAAAATATCTCTCCATCTCTCCCACTCCACCCACGTCCCCACTTCACCAGAATCACCATCCCCCCACATTCTCTTTCTCTCTCTTTCTCAAAACCCGCAACCTTCTCCCTCTCTCTCCCCCACTAATTATGATATTTCATGTGTATAATAACTACTAATTATGATCCCTCTTATACTGTTCATGCATAACGTATTGTTCATAGTCTCTAATCACGTTTTATAATCTTTATTTTATTAGTCTTAGTTACTTGTTGTTTCATGCTGTGATTGAAAACATTAGTAGTTCATGTTCTTAGTGGCCTAGCGTATCGTGTACAAGACCTAGATACCTGTGTTTTGTTGACTTAGAAAAACAATGAGTGTTGGGATGGGAAATCCTTAGTTTAGGTGATCAGATGTGATTGTTGATTATTTCCAGGCTCGCACTAGTGGACCATTTCACTCTGGGGTGGGTCTGAGGAGCAATGATATATGGATGTTTATGTATTTTCCAGGCTCGCACCAGTGGATCGTTTCACTCTGGGGTGGGTCTGAGGAGTAGTGACATCGTGATTGTATATTGTGGTTGTTGGTTATTTTCCAGGCTCGCACCAGTGGATCATTTCACTCTGGGGTGGGTCTGAGGAGCAGGGATATCATTGCACATAGAAGTGAGATCTGGACTAGTGAACTGTTATAGGATGGCTAGTTACATGACTTTGTTACTTAGATGATTATGGATTCTTGTGAGATGAGAACTAGTTATATTTCTTTTCATACATAGATCGGGGTCAATATTTAATTATCTACAATTTGAGACATATGGTATATACATGAGGGTTTCCTTGTTTGGATTATTTCACTCGACGTACTACGTCTCTTGTTGTAGATTTTTAAGTATTAATTCCATCTATTGTATGATCTTGTTGCTTGGATGGTTTCTGATCGCTACCTGCATGATCTTGTTACTTGGTTGATTTTTGGATTATTCTGATTATTAGTATTCCAATTGCACGCCTCTATCGTTATTACTATCATCACATGATCTATTTCTATTTCTGTTATCGCATTGACCACACATATATTATCATTACTGTTATTATATTTGTTCCTACCTTGGGGGATCTTGCCGTGTGTTATACACGCTGACGTACTCCTATTTTCTGGGTGTACGTCAGATTTAGGAGACAGACAGCCTCAGTTCGGAATCGTACAGGAGCCAGATGATTCTCAGTAGGAGCGCCTTGCAAGTGGCATAGAAGAACAAGCTAAAGCGTAGTAGTTTTTTTTGTACTAGCTGATGAACACTAGAACTCTTTTACAGTATTTCTTTAGTTTGATGATGAATTTAGTTATTTTATCAGTACTTTTATTATGGACTATGTATTTTATTCCTTATTGGACCGTTTTTGTAATAAGGGTATGTTTGACCCATATTTTATGTCTGGGATGATTTAACATGGATAATATGTTTATTTATTATTCTGGATTATCTTTATATTCTTGCTAACTGTGATCGGGGACTTGTGACTTCGTATTGTATTTATTTCTAGACGCTTAGCATATTGGATTGAGAAGAAAAGAAAAAGAAGAAGAAAAAGAAAAAAAATGATAGTATATATTTCTTCTCAATCTAATACGTCGCAGACTTGTTTACGTTCAGATTCCCCGGTATTTTGGCAAGCGGGGCGTGACAGATTTTTTTGGTGGCCCATGCAGGTCCCGGTCCCGAGTCCACACTAGTAAGGATATAGTAGACAATTTAGATACATATCATATTTCATCTGTACGACTACAATTAAGTTCTTATACTATTATCTTAATAACTATGTTTTAATTCCTATTTTCCTAATATATTATTTTGATTTTAACCTTAGCTATCCTCTTGATCCTCGTTTTCCTTTAGAACCATGGCGATTATGCGTGGTAATGGTAGCCAGCCCAGTAGCAGTGCCCCGCAGCCTAAAGTGGAACCACACCAGCTTTTGGAGATGATTCATGGATTGGTGGCAAACTAGCAGTTCTTAGCTGGGCATTTGTAGCAGGTGCCTCCGCACCAGCATCCCCCTCGCTCAGAGCCTGGTGTTAAAAAGTTTCGGTATATGCGACCGCCTTTCTTCTTTGGTGCTGAGGGATCCCTAGCTGCGGAGGAGTTCTTGAAGGTCACTGAGACTATTCTCACGGTGACCCGCATTGCCCATGCTGAATGGGTGGACCTTATGGATATTCAGCTCACCAACACAGCTCGAATTTGGTGGACTGCAGAGAAGGCTTATTTGGAGAGACTGATTTCGTGGGATACCTTCACAGACCGCTTCAACAGGAAGTACTTCCCTCAGTCGGCTTGGGACGAGCTTTTGTGTAAGTTTGTTGAACTCAAGCAAGGAGGTCGATCCGTTGATGAGTATGAGGCCGAGTTTTCTTCCTTGAGTCGATATGATCCTCATCTTGTTACAGACCCCACTATCAGGAGGCATCAGTTCCAGAAGGGTCTGGACAAGTATATTAGATTGGCTCTAGCTGGTAGAGCACTTGCAACCCACGACGTCGTGTTGGATGCAGCATGCGATATCGAGAGCGTTCAAAAGGAGCCTGAAGACCCACATGTGATCCAGAGCAGGACACAAGTAGCCCCAGCCTGAGATGACGAGCATCCATCCACCTTCGAGGCAGCAGCAGAATCCGCAGCGACAGCCGTTTTCTCAGCGCCATCCACTTCCTCCTGTGCATCCCTATCAGCACTCTGAAGTGCAGGCTCATGGCCAGTCTTCGGTGAGGTGTTCTTATTGTGGGTATAACGGGCATACCCAGTAGGAATGCCGCAAGCGCCTTTTTCTGTGCGTTCAATGTGGTCTCCGACCATATCATGTTCGCTCCTCTGAAGCCAGTGTTCGTTTGCCACCTCCTCCAGTCCGAGCAGCTCTTACAGCTCCCCCTCTATTAGTCCCAGCAGCTCCAGTTTAGCACGGACCCTATCCTCGAGCAGGGCCTCTTCCTCAACAGCAGTAGGTTTATCAGGAAGCGCAGAAGCAACAACCATCACGTCATACATTCATGATGACGATCGTGGAAGCTGAGGCGAACGACCAAGTTATCACCGGTAAGAATAGTTCATTGTTAGTTTTATTTGCATATGAACTTCCTTATTTCGTATTACCTTATGATATTATGATAGGATTTGTTTATGAGTGGTAGCTTATATGTATGTTCCTTCTATACTAGATAATGTTCTTGTTTATTCCGTCCTTGTTTTATCACCCTTTGACTCTAGAACTTCCCATTGTTTCTTGTCTCATCGAGTTGCGAGTACCCACTCTCGTTCTATGTCTCTGTCCTTGGGTTTAATTCCGAGGACGGAATTTGTTTTAAGGGGGATAGAATGTAAGGACTATAAATTTTTTATATTAGTTAAAATAATTTTTTGGTATTTTAAAATATTTAATTATTATTTTTTAAAAGGATATCTATATTTTTCTTGATTTTCTAGAATTTCTATGATTTAAGAATCAGAATTTATATTTATTTTAATAGTTTTGTTAATTATAAATTTAATTGATTACGGTAAAAAACTTTTAAATTAATATTTTCTTCTTATTATTATTAATGTAAACCTGAGCTTAGTACATTAGCATATATATAAAAAATATATATATAAATATTTGGTTGTTAATATTTTGTTAAAATTATTATTCATTTAACTATTACTATAATGGTTATTCTTATGTATATGGTAACATATCTCCATAACCAAATCTCTCTCACATATTTATTTCATTCCCTTCTTTCCCCATAATCACGTTCTTCCCGTCATTTATTTGCTTACTGATTCCCTCCTTAACCCCAGCATAGTTGTCCCCCTCTCTCTCATTATTTTCTCACTCACTCTCCGTACTCAATCAATCACTCCTGTGATTGCTGTCATTCATTGATTTGTTTCTTATTTTTAATTTCTAAAAATATCTCTCCATCTCTCCCACTCCATCCACGTCCCCATTTCACCAAAATCACCACCCCCCACGTTCTCTTTCTCTCTCTTTCTCAAAACCAGCAACCTTCTCCCTCTCTCTCCTCCCATACCCGTTATTCATCCTCTTCTTCTTCCGCTCAACTCCGACAGACGCCTCTCTGCCCTCTACTCCGAGCTGCCCGCGCTTCGAGCTATCCCCTACTGCCCGCATCACACCTCCAGCACCCGAACGCCTCGCGACAGTCTCCCTTCACAAGCCCAAACCCAACGGCCATTCCTCCTTTCACCTCCTGCCACCCGTCGTCCGCCGCACAACCCGACGCCTCACGTCATCGCCATCTTACTCGAGCACCCAGCCTCCTGCCTCCGAGCTCAGCCGAGCTCAGACGGAGCCCCACACCCCCATAGCCGCTCCAAACCCCGAAACCACCCTCCTATCTTCCCACGTGCGCCAGCCACCTTGCCGACGTCCTGAGCCCAACTCTCCGAACTCCGACCAGCGCGGCCACCCCTGCCTCAACTCTGACAGCCACGAACCCTCGACCTCTCTTCCTCAAACCACCAACCCCAGTGCCACTCCACCTTCTCAAACACTACCGCGGCCTCCACCACACTCCAGCCACCCACCTCAGCCACCTGATATCCGCCATCACCCCTTCCAGCAACCATCGAGATAAGCACCCCATCGCAACCTGCAGCAGCGCCCTCCGACAATCTTTCCCCTCTCCCCTATCGCCAGCTCCTTTCCGTCGACCTCAACTACCCGACACCGACCAAGTTCGCCGCTGCCCCTCGTCAGCGCTCTTTCCTAGTTTGCCACCATGCTCCTCCGCGTCAGATCTGACCCGTGCCGTCGACGCGATCGACGAAAGCCTCGAGGCAAGATCCCCTATCTTGTCTCGTGTTAAAATTATTTTGATTAGTTAACAATATTTGTTAGATTATTTCTATGTGATAATTATGCGTGGAATTATTTGTTGAATGATGATTAACAATAAGAAGAGTTTCGAATAGAAAGAAAACTCTTTAAACAAAAGAAAGAATAGAAAATAATAACATGTTTAGGAAAGAATATGGTTTGGATAGTGCCTGAGTTGATCCGACCTGACGTGTCGACACATGTGAGTCGACACGAAAGACGGAGTGCAACGATCGATCTTCGAGTCGACGCCGTAAGTCAACTCGAAGGGCGGTGAGACCCGTCCTGATAAGTCGTAGGATTTTATTAGGAGTAATGTCGATATTTCATGTGTATAATAACTACTAATTATGATCCCTCTTATACTGTTCTTGCATAACGTATTGTTCGTAGTCTCTAATCATGTTTTATAATCTTTATTTTATTAGTCTTAATTACTTGTTGTTTCATGCTGTGATTGAGAACCTTAGTAGTTCATGTCCTTAGTGGCCTAGCGTATCATGCACAAGACCTAGATACCTGTGTTTTGTTGACTTAGAAAAACAATGAGTGTTGGGATGGAAAATCCTTGGTTCAGGTGATCGGATGTGATTATTGATTTTTTTCCAGGCTCGCACCAGTGGATCGTTTCACTCTGGGGTGGGTCTGAGGAGCAACGATATGTGGATGTTTATGTATTTTCCAGGCTCGCACCAGTGGATCGTTTCACTCTGAGGTGGGTCTGAGGAGCAGGGATATCATTGCACATAGAAGTGAGATCTGGATCAGTGACCTATTATAGGATGGCTAATTACATGACATTGTTACTTAGATGATTATAGATTCTTGTGAGATGAGAACTAGTTATATTTCTTTTCATATATAGATCGGGGTCAATATTTAATTATCTACAATTTGAGACATATGGTATTTACATGAGGGTTTCATTGTTTGGATTATTTTGCTCGACGTACTACGTCTCTTGTTATAGATTTTTAAGTATTAATTCCATCTATTGTATGATCTTGTTGCTTGGATGTTTTCTGATCGCTACCTGCATGATCTTGTTACTTGGTTGATTTTTGGATTCTTCTGATTATTAGTATTCCAGTTGCACGCCTCTATCGTTATTACTATCATCACATGATCTATTTCTATTTTTGTTATCGCATTGACCACACATATATTATCATTACTGTTATTATATTTGTTCCTGCCTTGGGAGATCTTGCCGTGTGTTATACACACTGACGTACTCCTATTTTCTGGGTGTATGTCAGATTTAAGAGACAGACAGCCTCAGTTCGGAATCGTACAGGAGCCAGATGGTTCTCAGTAGGAGCGCCTTGCAAGTGGTGTAGAAGAACAAGCTGAAACGTAGTAGTTTTTTTTGTACTAGCTGATGAACACTAGAACTCTTTTACAATATATCTTTAGTTTGATGATGAATTTAGTTATTTTATCAGTACTTTTATTATGGACTATGTATTTTATTTCTAGTTGGACCGTTTTTGTAATAAGGGTATGTATGACCCATATTTTATGTCTGTGATGATTTAACATGGATGATATGTTTATTTCTTATTCTGGATTGTCTTTATATTCTTGCTAACTGTGATCGGGGACCTGTGACTTCGTATTGTATTTATTTCTAAACGCTTAGCGTATTGGATTGAGAAAAAAGAAAAAGAAAAAAATGATAGTATGTATTTCTTCTCAATCTAATACGTCTCGGGGCTTGTTCACGTTCCGGTTCCCCGGTATTTTGGGAAGCAGGGCGTGACACCAAGCCTCTCTAACAATGCTCAGGGTCCTGGTTAAAAATACCAGACTTAAGAACATAGACCATAAGAAGTTTAACAAACCGACAACTATGTTTGGAGACTCCATCGTCATTGAGAAGGATATCATGTACGATGGGGATTATAAATGGTTAAGAAAGTGGGAGATCGCCATTTCTTTCTACCCAACATGGAGAGAATGTTCCCTCTATCATACTTTCAGTGTGCTTCCATCTCGAGGCACACGTATTGGGATCTCATCAAGGAGCAAGACGAGGTTGCAGTTGGTGCTCTAACTTTTCATGGCATCCACACTGTAGGTTATAACCGACATGTGATAGCTCTATGACCATGCTTATTTCAAGGGAATATCCAATTGGTGAAGTGGCTAGTCTGGCTAACACTTTCATCAGAAGATTTATGATGGTAAAAGGTGAATTCCCTGCACAAGTATTCAGGTCCCCTAGATGGGTGCATTCTACAAAGGCAGGATGGTGGACCTGAATGATGGAGTTTGTCTTGAAGGAGCTTGAAACGCCACTTGCCAAATTTGGCATTGGTTGTCCTGTGATGGCCACTCGGTATGATATCGCTCACAGTCACTATAATTTCTATGCTATATTAGAGCGGTACAACTGTGAAACTTGCACTTTCTTCACTCCCATCTGGGAATTAGGTTTTTCCATCCATGAGATGTTTGACATCTCCAACCTTCCATTCGGGGACCTGCCGTATGAAGAATTTATTACGGGAGTAGCGAAACTCAAAATGTTGAGGAAGTCAAGCCCTAAAATCTATGACACTCTCTAGGAAGTAACGTGTCATTTTCATATCTACACACAGCTGACGGGGGCAAGAGGGAGTGGCGTGAAATAAGTATCGTGGGTAGAATACATGTTTCAAAATCTGACCCACAAGGGCGCTACCGTATCTCATTTGACTGTGAGCACTCCAGAGGACATCCAAGCCCGGATCAATGATGCAACTGCTCACTAT